TTGGCTGACATTTCTGACAACTCCCTGTTGATGTCCTGCTTGAAGCATTTTTAAATTATCTTCAACAAAATTTTACGTGCATGTGATGGTAATGATACAGTTCGATGATTTCTACATTTTGTTGGGTCATCTTTCTTTGGAATGGGCTAAAATATGGCTATCTTTCAGTCTGTTGGCTAGGTAAAATGTCTTCCAAACTTGTTGGCATAGACAAGTGAGCGCCTCTAGTGCTGCACGAGTTTGTTGAAACATTTCAATGATTCGGTTAATTCCTGAAGACCTGTTTTTCCACAAGTGCCTTCAATAGCTTGGACTTCTTCCTGCAGTACCATCAGTTCTTGATCATGTGCTACCTCTTAAAATGTTTGGACATTGGCTAGTTCTTTTTGGCGCAGTGAATCTGTGCATTCCTTCCATTTTCTTTCTTTTTTTTTATTCCCTCTGTTTTTTTGTTTTGTTTTGTTTTGGGGAGTGGGGTGGGGTGGGGGGATGTACACAAAAACACTCAGGAATATATAATAATTTAAACAGCAAAGGGCATATTCTGCAAGGCTGCCAACACACAGTCTTTCGCTTTCCATGAGTCTAGAGTCCTCAGTTGCTCCCTCTCTCCATGTCCCCATCTCTGCATCTGCCTCCATCTCTGGTGTTGCTGCTTCTCTGGATAGGGTCCTACATTCCACTTGTGCTCTTCTCCCTTGATGGTCCTAGAGTCCTTTGTTTCTGGACTATAAGATTAACTACTCCCCCATTTTTTTGTTACAAAACTTCTACCTTTACAGTTGTGACAGTCGCAACTAATTAGTCATGATAACAATTATTCACTATTGGCTCATAAGAATCTTATCCCCATCTCTTTTCACCAGACCCATCTAGACAAGCTGAAAACTATTCAGTGGGGACTCTTATCTTCCCCCACACACTCCTAAACTAATCTCCCTCTTGAAAACTTGTAAGCCAGTCACTTCATGTCTTTATTGCCCCCTCATTTTAGGTAGTCACTGTCTAAGTTGCCTGTCCCTATCTACCCTGTGTACAGAGGGGATAGGATTGATACTTGATGTGAAGACTCCTTCCCTCTCAGTTGGTATTTTCAGTTACAACATCCATGAGTATGGGTCAAGTTCATCCAATTGTAGCAGTTTACCCTTCCTATTTCTTCTGATGCTTTCTATATCATTCAACATTTTACCCATAGAATCCTTTAATATTATAAGTCAAAGCTTGAATTTTTTTCTTCGTTTTCTTTCAGCTTGAGAAATGCTGCATGTGCTCTTCCCTTTTGCTGTTCTAACTCCAGGTCTTTGCACAGTTCATTGTGATACTTGATTTTGTCTTCTCCAGCTGCCCTTTGAGATTTTCTGTTCAGCTCTTGTACTTCATCATTCCTTCCATTCCCCTTAGCTATTTATATTCAAGTTTCAGAATCTCTCCTGATATCCATTTTGATAACATCCCACAACTCCTGGTCTTTGTTCATTATTGTTCAATGTATAAATTCAGAGACTCTGTACTCAAGGTCATATTTTGGCTCTGGTGAGAAAACAAGTCTGTTTTCATTTGCTTCAGCTTTAGCCTGAACTTGCTATGAGCAATGTTTGGCCTGTTTCACAGTCAGCTCCTGGCCTTGTTTTGGCTGATGATATTGAGGCTCTCTCTCACAGATGTGGGGAATTTGATTCCTGTGTATTCCATCTGCTGAGGTCCACGTGTATTGTCACTGTTTATGTTGTTGACAATGAATAAGTCTTTTGGTTTTGCAAAATTCTATTATGTAACCTCCAGCATCATTTCTATTGTCATGGTCATATTTTCCGAAGTTCTTCCTCTTTGTTTACAATTTTTGCTTTCCAATCACTGGTAATTATTAATGCATCTTGATTGCTTTTTTTTTTTTTAATGTCAATTTTAGTGTGATTTTTTCTATTTAATGAACACTGGCACTAGCTTTAGTGGTTAGTGCATACATTTAAATAATAGTGGTATTAATTAACTGGTTTTCTTTATAGGTGTATGGATGTTATTCTATCATAGACAGCATTGTACTTCAAGGCAGATCTTGAAATGTTCTTTTTGGCAATGAATGAGATGCCATTCCTCTTCAGTCTGTCATTCCCAGCATCATAAATCATGTGATTGTCAGATTCAAAATGGCTAAGACTTGTCCATTGCAGCTCACTAATGCCTAAGATTTTGATGGGTTTCATTTTTGACAACTTCCAGTTTTCCTAGATTCATAGTTCCTACAGTCTATATTGTAATTACTAATGGATGTTTGTAGCTGTTTTTTCCCCTTTTAAGTTGTGTCCCATCAGCTTTGGTCCATCCACATCATCACAGCCAACTCTACTTTGAAGAGGCAGCTCTTCCCCAGTCGTATTTTGAGTGCCTTCCAACCCAAGGGGCTCATTTTCTGGCATTGTATCAGACAATGTTCCTCTGCTATCCGTAAGGTTTTTGTGGCTAACCTTTCATAGTGGTCTGTTTCTCCTTTTTGTAGTCTGTCTGAGTCTGGAAGCGCCACTGAAACCTACCCACCATGGGTGAGCCTGCTGTTATTTTACAATACCAGTGGCGCAGTGCTTACCAACACACAAGCCACCACAGTACAACACACTGACAGGAATGATGGACGTGGCCTATAAAAGAAGAAAGAGGCCTTAAGGAAACAGTGAAAGATGGAAAAGCAGCAACCAAAAACAAAAACAAAAAATCTCAACAGAAACAAAAGCAAAAAATAATGAAAAGGAGACAAGAACAAAATGAAGAAAGGCAGGCAACTGCCAAGACCAACGTTGGTGGTGATAAAAAGAAGTAGAAATTCCAAAGGGACTTGATCTGTAGTAATTGTGTAGCTTTTTCACTAGATTAATAAATGATAAAAACTTATTTAAAAAAAACAAAAACCCAGAAGTTTCCAGTTAAGGAAAGAAGTTGAGGAATGTATCAATTATGAAAGAATAGATACTAAAGGCCAAATGACTTGGCCAAATAAAAGGACTGTGGAATTTCAACAGTTAAGGGAGCAAACATTACCACTTCTACAGTGCTCTTAGAAGGATTTTGGGAGGAGGTGGCTTTTGGAGGATATGGGTGAAATTTGGACATATGGGACTATAGTTGTGGTCAGATTTTCGTTTTCTCTCCCGCCCCCATTCCCCTCTACCAAAAAAAAATTTTTTTAAAAGCATGGATGATTGTCCCATGTGCTTTGGACATATTATCAGAAGAGACCAGTTCCTAGAAAAGGATCTCATGCTTGGTAAAGGAGAGGACCAGTGAGGAGGAAGACTCCCAAGGATCTGGACTGACACAGTAGCTGCAACAGTGAGCTCAAGGGCACCCAACAACAACAACAACAAAGTCCTTGGCTGGTACATAACCAATAACCTAAAGGTTGGTGGTCCGGAACCATCCAGCGACACCAAGAAAGAAAGCTTGGTGATCTCCTTCTGTAATGATTTTGGCCCCAAACCCTCTAGAACCGGCTCCTCTGTAACAGATGGAGTCGCCATGGATTGGAATGGGTTAGATGGTAGCAGGGTTACTTCTAGTTTTTTGATACAGCAACATAAAAGACACTTTTCTATATCTAGTTCATTTAAATATAAATTCAAAAGTTTGTGTATATCACTCTGAAAAACACGTGTGGACAGGGAATTTAAAACAATGAAAATATCTGGTTTTTTTAAGCTTCTTTTAATAATGTTAAATGGATGTACAATAAACACAAATCAGGGTGGGAAGGGGCAATTACTTGGTACTATTATATATTTTGTTAACTGGTGGAAGCACAAGCTTGTCCCAGAGAGTAACTGAAACAATCCTCTGTCTTCCTGCCCACATGTCAGTCTTTTAGGTCTCCCCTTAGATGCAGGTGCTCTGATTCAAGTGTATTCATCCTCAATATAAAATAAAAGGTAGAAAGAGAAGGGGTTGTCTCTGTCCCCAAATTCCCATCCTGCAGTTTATTCTCAAAATCCCATTGAAGCCACCCAAAGTGGCGGACCCTTTCTTAGGCTGGAAGACAGAAGACTGTATAATAACTAGAGTCCAGCAAGCCAAACCTACTCTACTATCTGATTTGTAAGGCCTATAAATAAAGAATGGTTTTAGATTTTTAAATGATTACATTTTAAATGGTTCTGTAAGTACCTATGTAATAGTTTTGATTATATCCTTTTGAATGGCAAAGCCTATATTAATTAATGTCTGACCCTTTAAGAAAATGTGCTGACCCCTAGCTCTGGTAGCATAGTGATTACGAATTGGGCTGTGAATCTTAAGGTCAGCAGTTCGAAACTACCAGCTGTTCTGCGGGAGAAAGATGAGGCTTTCTGCTTCCCTAAAGATTTACAGCCTCGGAAACCCTGTACAGGGTCACAAGGAGTCGGTTCCACCTCCACGGCACATAACCACCACCACCACCACCGCCAGTCTATAGTCAAGTCCCTGGGTGGTGAAAATGGCTTGCTCTTGGCTACTAACTGAAAGTTTGGCAGTTCAAATCCACCTCATGGTGTCTCCGAAGAGAGCCCTGGCTCTCTCTGCTTTGGTAAGATCATTATTGTTAAGCGCTGTCAAATCAATCTTGACTAACAGCAATCCAGTATAGGGTTTCTGAGGGGTACCCAGTGGGTTTGAACCACAGGCCTTTGGGTACAAATTGCCCTTGTGGTCCAGTGTTTATTTTACAGCATCACACCAGGATTATAGCCTTGGAAACCTTTCCGGGTGAAGTTCTGCTCTGAAGAACATGGGGTCGCCATAAGTCAACAGCTTGGGTGCTGTTGTTTTGGTCTGGGGTCTTTTCCTTAATCTCGGCTGCAAACAAAGCAACATGCATGGGACCTAAAGTTCTGGTCTCTAGCTTAGGGCACAAGGTGACAGGCGTAATCTCCAGGCCCTTAGCGGCCTGGCAGCCCTCAGGGGCTCCTTCCCCAGGTCCTGGCAGAGCTCCCCAGGTGGGGCTTGGCTTGACCCGAGAAGCCGCGGTGTCTTTAAAGGTGCGCTGCTGCGTCCCGGCGGCGGGGACAACCCCAGCGCTCCCGCAAGTAGAAGTGCCAGACCAGGGCCGAGCAGCAGAGCAGGGCCAGGCCTGTGCCCACGCCCACGGCCGCGTGGACCAGGGTGAACGGCCTGGGGGGCACAGTCAGCTGACCGCAGGGCCCGAAGTCAGGAGAGTCGGTGCCCGCCAGGTTCTCCGCCTGGGGCCCTGGCGCGCTGCTTTCTCCCGCCTCATTGGCAGCCACCACGCACACGTAATAAGCCCCTCCAGGCTTCAGTCCTTGCAGTTCAGCCCGTCGGAAGGTAGAGTTGAGGGGGGGACCCTTCTGCGGAGCCCCTCTGCCTTCCCAAAGCAGCAGCCAGTATTGGTGGACCGGGGAGGAGGGGGCACACCAGTGGACCTGGGCGCGGCCCTCCTCGGCCACCACGCGCACTTCTCCCAGGCGCGGTGGGTCTGGCGGCTGGGCCTCGCTGGAGATCCCCGGGCAGAGGCAGATGCGGGGCCCAGCACTCTTCAACACCTCGCAAGGCACCTGCAGGTGGCGGCAGCGGTCATAGTCACAGGGCACTGCGCTTCCGGATGGCAGTGGTGTTCCATCTTCCTCCTCTTCTTCGAAGTCCTGTGGAGCTAAGAGCTGGACTCTGCGGACCAAGGAGAAGACCACAGCCAGGAGACACAATCGGCAGGGAGAGCCCAACATGGAGTCTGGAAGCAACCATGAGAGGCTGTTTAGTTAGACCCCTTGCCTTCCAGGCCCCCTGCCTCAAGTCACCTCTAAGATGTACAACAGGGGTCATGCTGGGAGCCAGGAAGAGGAGGGGAGGAGACAGAGATACCCATTTTCAGCCAGCTTCTGCATATAGGTTATGTGTTTGGTTTCAGATAAAAGGGGATAAAATCCGGTTTGACACAAGAGGGACAGAGGTGGATGGATGCAAGACCTCCTATAATGTGCAACATGCTAGAAACAGTTAATGAGATTAACAAGTACTGGGGACAAAAGAAGAAGGGACCGTTGACTCAGCCCTGGAGGAAAGGTGGAGAGTCCCAGTTATTATCCAAAGAAAAGGTCTGAGTCAAGCAAACAACAGTGGGTGACATGTGTGGAACCCAGAAAACAGACTTGAGAGAGGAAGAGGAGATGGAATGGAGGAAGTAAGGTCCCTGGATTCCTCTTTCCCCACCTGTAATGAGTGCCAGTTTCATCTAAGCAATCCTCCGGGCCCTGCCTGCCCATCATATATCCCACCCCTCCCTGGCCCACAGCAGCCCCCTCACCAGTGAGGCTTGGATACTGAGCAACCAGAGACTGCTGGGAAGTCTGTGGGGCTCCGGGCTGAAGGGTCCACAGGAGAGGTCCACAGGATCGCAGACTGTGCAGTCAGCGGATTTTGTCTCCTCAGTTTCAACGCTCGCTGTTAGAAGCTTTTATACCCTTCAACTGTGATGTCACCAGCTAGCCCCCACCTCCTCATGAGTGCTGGGAGGAGGGCTAGTCCCTTTGGAGAGGCTGAGTCACGGGGTCAGGGAGGGGGAAACCACATGCAGGGCTTTCATCTGGAGGCTGGACAGCAGAGGGACGGACGCCTGGGATCCGAAAGGGAGGTTCGATGTGGAGAGCAGCCAGCCCGGAGCTGGGAATCCCAAGGCTGGAGTCACCGAGCAGGGTGGGGGGCGGATCATGAGGCAACCTGGCTGGTAGCAGTGAGGAAAACAGCTGTGGATGGCATGGGGCCCAGGCCACAAATGCTGTTTCTGTAAAAATCATCCTGTGCTCATGGCAGTCATTTCCTGTCTTCTGCTTCCCAATGGACAACCAAGGGGTGGGGTGCCGAGGCCCTTTAACACCACCCTCCACGACCCCCTCCTCAGAGGGCCACGAGAGAGCCCTGTGGAAGGAGCAGGAGCCTGTGAGGGGTCAGGACGGCTTCTTCCCGCCAGAGGTTCAAGGGTGCCCCAGAGAGTCAGGATCTGGAGGCCTTCCCCCTAATATACACAACCCCCTTCACACAGGCTGCAGGGTGAGGTCTGCAAATCACCGCCCACAAGTCACCTCAGAGAGTCAAGGAAACAGCTGGCATGAAAATAGTTTATTGGGGGGAAAACACGTGGGAAAAGTGCTGGAATGTGAGGAATCTGCCCTCTTCAAGAGCTTGAGCAGGTGGAGCGCTGACGCACAGTGGCCACAGAGGGCTCCGAGCTGCCCAGAGTCTCTGGGGTGGTGGGGGCTGGTGCAGGGCCTGAAAGGTTGGTCTCCATCAGCAGTGCTGCATCTTCCCAGGAGCCTGAACCTTAGACAAGGAGGGAAAAACAGAACCCCAAAGGGAACTCAGATCCCCCGCGGCTCCTTGCCAGGCCTGACATCACGTCCTCTGGTGTTGCGCCACCCTTGTTCCACCCAAGCAGCTCTGAGTGTCTCTCACCATCACTGGTCTCCGGTTCCAACTCCGCCTCTCCATGAAGGGGTTGTGACTCTGGCTCCTCAAACAGCTGACCCTCTGCAACCAGAAGCGGGTGGAGAGGTCAGTCCAGAGGAGGCCAGAGGGGTGTGCCAAGGAGTCAGGGCGAAAGGAGCTCAGTACGCCATACCTGTGCCTGACGGGTCCTCAGGGCCCTCGGCGTCCTCTGTGATATCTGACTGAGTTAGCTCCTCGCGGCCTTGGGACCCTGCACCTTCAAAGCGGGTGGAGGTCAGGGTAGGGCTGGGATGGTAGCGCTCACTTCATCTCCTCTGGCCTTTCCTTAACCCTCAACTCCTCCTCCACGAGCACCTGTCCCCAGCCATCACCCTTACCTGACTGATGGGTGGGAACCCTTCGCTCCTTTCCAGGATTCTCTCTTTTTCGGATATTAACCTGGAGAAGAAACCAGTGAGCAGTGAGTGGGTACTGGCTCCCTGCCAGCAATCCTGTCCTCAGCCCCCAGCCCCCAACATGCCCTGCCCACTATAGTCCAAGGTTTGGGGAGGGGAGTGGGGGGGAGGAGGAAGGGACCCCCTGCCCTTGGCGACCTGCAGAGAGAGGTGGTGTCGGGGCCAGATGCCCCCCCACACCCACTGCATGTAGCTGAAGAGCACGATGACACTCAGGAAGGTGAAGTTGCTGGCAACGCCAATGAAAGCACAGGTCACCGGGAAGTTGTACAGCAGGTACCTGGGGCCAGGAAAAGGAGCAGCAGTGACCCAGAGCAGCAGCCGTTGGTTCCCAGGCACGATCACTGATCATCGATCATCGATCCCAGCAAGCTGGTCTCCACCTCCCCACCCTCTACCCACTTTGTCAGAGGCCGGAGGTGGAGCTGCTGGACTGACTTCTGGGTCCTTTGGGCAGAGCTCAGCCACAGCCGGGACCACCCCCAGCTAAGCTAAGACGTTCACAGGCCTGGCTCCACACAGCATCAGGCTACAAAACTCGGAAGGCCATATATGAACCCGACAGATTGTCATTCAGTTGAGTTGGGGTACGGCAGCCCAGGTGTCAGTATTAAAAGTATTTTATGGTCATTTTGGAACCCTGGTGTGGTGACCACAAAGTTTAAATCCACTAGTGGCCTCCTGGAAGTCTTATATTGCACAGCACTTAATAACAACATAGTGATTTTGGAGAAAAATTATATAGGTTCTCATTTGACAATTTCTGTATATAACATTCGGGGAGTGTGGTAGCTCTGTACCATAAGCACTGGACTGCAAATTCCATGGGACAAAGATGAGGCTTTTCAGCTCTTGCCAAGATGTACAGCCTCAGAAACCCTATTCAGGATTGTTATGGAATCTGAGTTCTGTTCTATGTCGGCGGTTCAATCCCACCAGCTGCCCTTTGGAGACCCTACACAGGGTTGCTATCAGTCAGAACTGACTCAACAGCACTTAAAACAACAGTGCAGGCTTTTTTTATTTTTATTTTTATTTTTTTTAGTAAAACCCTTAATTTCTGCTTCTCCAAAATTTTTTTTTAAAGCAGGGATGGGACCATCTGGCCCACAGGCCATATTAGGCCCACACAACCATTTGGTCTGGCCCTCCACAAACAACCGCAGTTCTACCCATCACACTGCTGTTAAGTGCCATCAAACTGGTTCCGACTTGTAGTGACCTTGTATAGGGTTTCCAAGTAGTGGCTGGTGAGCTTGAACTGCTGACCTTGCAGTTCACACCAACCTTGTAGTCCAGCGCATTAACCTGCAGCTGCCATCACGTTGTTGTTGTTGTTGTTGTGAAGTACCACTGAGTCAGCTCCAACTCACAGTGACCCTGTACAGGGTCCTCAAGGAGCAGCTGGTGGGTTTGAATTGCCAACCCTGTGGTGGTGAGTTAATTAAATATTTGACCAAATACAGCAGGCTAATTTTGAAGCTGGTAATTATATACAGCCTGTGAGTGATGTTATAAAATTTTTGGCAAAAAAAAAAAAGGTTCCCCACCCCTGGCTTAAAACCGCAGCAACCTCCTTAGTATAGCTGACACCGCGGGGCTGCTGTCAGTTTCTGTCCAGGAGTCTACCTCGCGGTGACCCCATGTGTGAGAAGGAGAGCTGTAGCCACAGGGTTTGCAAGGCTGTGACCTTTGGGAAGCACACCTCCAGGCCTTACTTCTGAGGAATCAGTAGTTTTTAACTAATCCCTGGGGAAAGTGGATGCGCTGAAAACAAGGTCTGCTCCAGGTACAACCCGATGCTGTTCTGTAAAACCTGGTCCCTCCGCTCCGGCTCCCTCACCTGAGCCCTGTGAAGTGGGCGTGGATGCGGAGGTGGGCTCCATACATCTGGATCCGCTTGCTGTGGATCTCAATCATCACACCCGTTGTCGGCACATACTGCAAGGGGGTGGGGGCGAGACCAGCATCAGGCCCTGCTCGCTCTGGCTGCGGTCACTCCGAGCAGCCCAGCGTCTGGTGGCTGTCCCTCCACCTGAGCCCTGTGGCTCCCAGAATTCCCTTGTTCCCCCCACCCCTCACCGAGTTCTCTCTGTAGTCCGAGTAGAGTTCCACCTCCAGGAGCTGCTTCTGCTCTGCAAAGCCAAACAGCAGGAAGCTAGAGAAGACCAGCGTGTCAAGCGTCTGGAGCAGGTCTGAGCGGTAATGTAGCATCACCTGCGGAGGCCAGGGAGGGAGAGGTTGGGGACAGGTATCCCTAGACTCCTTACCTGCCCCACAGTGTGGATCCCATCCTTCCCGATACTTGAGTTACCTCCCTCCCTGCCTGACCCTGTTTCTCTATTCCAGTACAACCAGGACCCCTCTTCCAAAAAGCCTTTGTAAGCCAAGCCCAATCCTGCCCCTGAGCTCCCTTTCCCGTAGAACAATCTCTTGTCCAACCTAAGTCCCAGTGAGCTATGGGAAACTCTGTTCATGCTGCACTCAGGGAATGCCTTCATGATGTGTTTTTGTTGAACATTCATGCAAGATGGAATCCAACTCTTATTAAAATTCCACCCTGAGCTAGGAACTCGAGTGGTGTTGTGGGATAAGCCTTGGACTGCTCAACACGCTACGCAGGCAGCAGTTTAAACCCACCAGCTGTTCCGTAGGAGAAAGATAAGGCTTTCTGCTTTTATAAAGATTTGCGGACTCAGAAACCCTACACAGGGTCACTACCAAGGCGCCCTGGCAGCAAAGTGGTTAAAGAGTTTGACTGTCCGCCAAAAGGTCGGCAGCTCAGTCACCAGCGGCTCCTCCTCGGGAGAAAGACGGGAGAAAGACGGAGCAGTCAGCTTCCATACAGATGACAGTTCTGGAAACCCTGTGGGGCAGTTCTCCTATAGGACTCCTTGAGTCAGCATGGACTCGATGGTAGTGTGTGTGTTAGTATGCACTTTACCTTTCCTACGGACTCCAAGCTAGTCTTCCTGCAAGGCAGTTACTATTATACCCGTCTGATAATACTTTATAGCTAAGAGATAAAGAAATCTGTCCCTGGGCTGGATGTGTCTGAGTCAGGACCCGAACCCAGGGCTGTCTGGTTCTAAAGCCTCTGTTTCTAGAGAGCAGCTCCACTCTTCATTGACAGCTGGTATCTGAGGTTGCTTGGCAAACTTGGCTGGTTTGGTACTGACTCCTCTTCCTTATCCTAACTCCTTTGAGACCTCAGAACCAAGGATGTTTTTTCCCCCAAAGTCCAACCCATGTGTTCTGATCCCTACCACTGTTCTCCACACCCCCAACAGGCCCCGACCACTTACCGAGCGTGAAGAAGTAGAGATGACACGGCCACCTTTGGTGTAACATGAAATGGTGACCAAGAACATGCCCAGATCTTGATTCACGGGGGACTCTGGCAGCTCAAGTTCCAAGGTAATGCGATACGGCTGTCCGTACATCAGCACCTGCCCAAGGGAGCCCCCGTGTCTCATCAAAGAAAAAGTGATTTTAATTGCGTTGTCCCTGTTCTACTCTACATCCCACCACCCAACTATTTCACTGGACAAGAGCCCAGGCTCAGCCCAACAGGCCTCTCAATCTCTCAGCCAAGGATGGTGCTGCCCCCTACTGGTGGCTGCATCCCTCTTCCCAGGTCTCCTGTCAGTCCTTCAGATTCAACCAACAGTGGAAAGAAAATATTCTAGGGAGGGGGAAGCAATTAAGTGGCCCAAGCAATTCCCTGAAGGGAGGGTAAGTGCTACTTCCTGAGTATTTACAATGTATTAGGTATTATAAGGAATCTACAGATGATTTTTAAAGTACAGAAAGCTGTAAATTGTAATATGCAAATATCGTATCATTTTATGCGAGACCTGGTGTGGCACTGTAGGATAAGCACTGACCTGCTCACAAGGTTGGCAGTTCAAACTCACCAGTGCTCCTTGGAAACTCTAGACAGGGTTGCCTGAGTCGGAACCGAATCAGTATGTCATTTTATATATAAAAAAACATCTTGTATGCTGTCAAGCTGGTTCTGACATCTAGCTACCCTGTATAGGGTTTCCAAGGAGTGGCTGGTGGGTTTGAACCACCACCTTAAGGTTCAAACCGACCTTGTTCAGTGCTTATCCTACAGCACCATACCAGGACTCCAGAAAGGACCTGAGCATCCATGGTGTATTTTGGTATACACGGGGGTCCTAGAACCAATCCCCCTCAGATTGTGGATTTGCTCCATTTTCAGAAGAGAGCATTTTCCTTTTCCAAATGTGAAGTCACACTGTTAACTGGGCCATCCGTCCCCTAGGTTCAGGCTGCCCTCACTCACTGTTAATTAACCACCAAATGTAGAGCTCAGTCTCCTAGCCAGCTCTCTCCCACAGCACTGAACACTGAAGTGTCATTCCCAGTCCCTTGTCAGAACCCAGAGATTCCGCGGAAGCCTTCCCTGGGATCACCCTCATCAAAGCTTCCTCTATTCCTCTCCTCCCTCCAGCCCAGCCTAAGCCCAGACACCAGCACAGAGCTGATGGTGAAGTTTTTGTTTTGAAGCAGAGAGGAAATCAATTTTTTAAAATGGTGAAAACCCAATTTAAAAATGGGCACAGGATATCAACAGACACTTCACTAAGGAGGAGATCTGGGCTGCCAACAAACATGAAGAAATGTTCATGATCACTAGCCATTAGAGAGATGCAAATCAAAACACAATGAGCTATCATCTCACACCAGCAATTAACAGCAAAGATCAAAAAAGTAGAGGACAATAAATACTGGTGAGGATGTGGAGAGACTGGGACACTCCTGCATTGCTGGTGGGACTGCAAAATGGTCCAACCTCTCTGGAAAGCAATATGGCGCTTCCTCAGAAGGTTGAAAATAGAAATACCTTATGATCCAGCAATTCCTCTACTTGGTATTTACCCACAAGAAAAGCGAGCCATAACACGAATAGATATATGCACACCGATGTTCACAGCAGCACTATTTACAATAGCAAAATGATGGAGACAGCCTAAGTACCCATCAATTGAAGAATGGATAAACAAACTGTGGTACATACACACAATGGAATACTATGCTACCTTGAAGAACAACTAGGAAGCTGCAAGCCACCGCATATAACATGGACAAAAGGAGAAATACTGCACAGGACCATTATTGTGAAAGATTAAGAAAAACAACCCATACTAAAAGGGGGAAAAAATTATAGATATAGTTACTGATTACTGGGATGTATGGGATAAGGGGAGGGGAGGGAGGGAGAGGAAGATAGAGCACAAGGTAGGGGAGAGACACAGGATAGCTTGGGTGCTGGGGGCAGGGCAATACATAAGAAGGGGGAGGGGAATGGAAGAACAAGGTGGATGGGAGAACAGTTAGGCAGGTTCGCATGGGCTAAGTGTGTCAGAGGTAAATAATGATGTATGCACAACCTTGGAACAACAGGGCTCCGGGATACAGGGATTGAGGCATGGTTTGAAAGGGTAAAAGAGGGGAATAATGTTAAGATGCTCGGCTGTCTTTTGAATCTTGGTTTCCCCCTTGCCTACCATTGTAAAATAGACACTTGAGGGGGAGGAATAGCCAGAAACATCACAACAGAAAGTTTGTAAGTCCGTTTTCAGCCTATAACTGACTGGAATACCTTAAAGGGAGCCCGAAGTTGCCCAGTGAAAGAGGCTTCCTGTGGAGCCTTTACATTACATAAGACCAGAGGTGGAATCCTGAACCCCATCCAGAATCCTCTGAGGCGGGAAATTTCCACTTGAAAGGACAAGTAGGCCAGCCTGGAGTGGCTGGAAGAACAGAAGAAACTTCGTGATAGAAAGACCGGCAGGAAAAATCAAAAACAGTAATGGCAGTCTGACTGACTACTACAAGAACAAGCAAGCTGTTCACCAGGAGCCATTAAGGCAAGTGGTTGGGTCCCCTCAGGAAAAACCCTTTTCTAAGACTAAGACTCAAGGGGAATACACGAGCAGGCATGTGGTCTGGCTGATGACCACGCTGGTCACTGATAAGTAGAAGAGGGGAAAAAACAGCAATGAAGTTGGGAGCTAAGTCTGACCACATTCGATAGACTCCTGTGAACCCGGAGACCTGGTTGGCCAGCAGTATGGCAGGACCTGGGGACACCTGGGCCCAGAGGCAGGGACATGGCCACAGAAGACTAGAATGGAGAGTGAAGTGTCCAGCTTATATGAAGTGAGGGGAGATGCACAAGAACACCCATACTTGCAAAAAGTATACACTTGACTGGGCTCCAACGGCTGGATGATCAGAACTCAGTTAGAAGAAGAAAGAAGAGG